TAAATGTTCATTAAAACTAATAAAATTTAATAAAAAAAAGATTAAAAAAAGAAACTTTCAGTCTCATAATATTTTCCAGTCGAAACAGTGTTTTGAAATGTTTCTCTTTTTAAAGAAAGTTCATCTTTGTGATCTTACACGGTTGTTCTCTGTATCTAAATGACCCCAACGGAACCAGAAAGATGGACTTTGGTAATCTGGGGACACTTTATTTATTTAAATGTTTTTTTTATCCTTATAAAGAATGTCTTTGCTAAGGTTTAGCTTGTAACTGGAGTCAGAATATTCCCTCTACAATTAATTCTTAGGCAGGGACACTTTAATGTGGTGAGAATGAGGAGCATACCATCAAGTTAAAGAAAATGTCTAAAAATAAAAACCCAACCTCTGAGAAATTCTAACTGAAGAGAGATTTCTTGAGAAATAAAAGCAACTCAAGTTGCGGAGGCAGCAAGGCTTACAGGGTGACATGAGCACTCCTCTGAGGCACAGAGGAATAAGGGTTTATTAAGGCAAAACCCATCAGGGGTGGGGTACTGTCTTCATTGCTGGGCAAATGGTTAAGAAACTGAAGGTGGACTACACCAGAAACGAGGCTTCAGGGAGCTCTGATGGCCTAGTGGCAAGAAGCTGCACTGCAATCCCAGAGGTATGCGGTTTGAATCCACCAGGTGCTCTGCTGGAGAAGGAGGGAACAATCTCCTCCTGTACCGGTCAGATCTGATTTGATGGTACACACACACAAAAATAAATTTTTTTTTTAAAAAAATGAGTCTTCAACTAGAGGAGGTTCATTACAAGCATGTGGTCAGGCAAAAAGATAAGTTCAGGTGGTCAGGTGGAGGAACTGGTTGTTTTCTGAGAATTAGCCAAGCACCAAGTTGGTGTTTGCAGCTGCTTCCTGGAACACACGTCTATTTAAAAAAATACAACAAAACAAAAACACCAAACTTAACATGCTTAGAAATTAGTTACACTGAAGTCACCCTTAGAAATGAATCAAAAATGCACACCCATGTTTATTGTGGTTTTGTTCACAATAGCAAAGAACTGGAAACAACACATGTGCCCATCAACAAATGAATGGATAAGAGAAGCTGTGGTATATTCACACAATGGAAGACTATGCGGCATTGAAAAACAAGAACTCATGAAATATTAGGCAAAATGGGTGACTCTGGAGGACATTACGCTGAGTGAAATATCTCAGTCACAAAAGGACAAATATTGCATAGGGGCACTGTTGTAAAACGGGACTGACATGGGGGTTGAAGGAAGGCAGAGGAGGGGGGAGGAATGATGTATAATGTACACTATTGAAACAGACCAAGAGAACTGTTTGAAAGGAATGTATGATTGGGTATTATTGTCATGACAGGAGTCCAGAATGAAGGCTGCACAGTGGAGTGGACGTGGGGGGAGGGATTAAGTAGCAATGAAAGAGGTTTACTTTTCAAGGAGAAGAGCGAATCCAGGAGGGGTCGGCAGGGAGAAATGTGCAACGATAAATGACTGGAGGTAGCTCTGGTGGCCTAGTGGCATGAAGCTGCACTGCAATCCCAGAGGTACGTGGTTCGAATCCACCAGATGCTCTGCTGGAGAAGGAGGGGCAATCTCCTCCTTTACTGGTCAGATCCGAGTTGAGAATACACACACACAAAATGAATGACTGGATACCCTAAGTCTCTGTAAATTTTTATTAAATTGAATAAAAACCATATAAGAAATTAGTAACCCAAAGTCTCTGTAAATTTTCATGAAAATTAATTAAAAAAAGAGAGAAAAAAGATGTAAGAAAAACAGAAATTAATCAAAAGAAGTCATTCTTATCCCCTTGACTTGGGGCCAGGACAAAAGTTTGTTTGAGATGATTTCCTTAGTCAGGGAAGACATCATCGACTCAACAGAAAGACAACCAGCCCGTTTGGGCACAATGTACAGGAAGACAGTTTTCCATCATCACGTAAGGAGAACCGTATCTCAGATGTGGGCAACAGTGACAACAATGTTAGCACTTGTGCCTGTTATGGGGAAATGGGGACAGGAAGCTGAATGAGGATCTGAAAGTGAAGCTCTGAAGTGAGTCTTGTTATATGTGACAAGGTGAGAGGGCAAGAGTTAGAAGAAACAGAACTGGAAAGAGTGTAAGCATCACACAAATATTTTAGTAAGTCAAGGTATGCGGTTCAAGGTCACCACGCAGCAGAAAGATGGGCAACCTCCTCCCACGCTTTTAACCACCTCTGAAAACCCACGGAGGCGTCAGCTATGGGTCAGTTCCAACTGGATGGTACACAACAGCAACAACAAAGGACAATGGGAACCCTGGTGGCATAGAAAGCAAGCAGTTGGTTGCTAACTGAAGGTATGGTTGCTTGAACACACTAGCAGCAACTCCAGGGAAGAAAATGAGGGAGTCTGCTTCTGTACAGGTTTACTGTCTTGAGACCCCCGTGGGGCAGTTCTACTTTGTCCTGGAGGGTTGATACGAGTTGGAATTGACTAGACAGTGATGGGTTTAAAGGAGAATGAATATTTAAGGACTAGAGATCAATCAAGACCAAAAAAGGTTGCTGGAGTTTAATCCCAAACTTGGCCAAAAGTTCATTCATTGAAACAAACCCTAATTCATTTTCTTATCATCCATCCATCCATCACCCATCCATCATTTGCCCATCATCTGTCCATCCATCCATCCCCCATCCATCATTTGCCCATCGTCTGTCCATCCATCCATCCATCCATCCATCCATCCATCCATCCATCCATGCATCCATCCATCCATCATTTGCCCATCATCTGTCCATCCATCCATCCATCCATCCATCCATCCATCCATCCATCCATCATTTGCCCATCGTCTGTCCATCCATCCACCCACCCACCCCCATCCATCCATCCATCTATTCCACTATCAATCCCATCCTTATCTCCAATTATTCACCCATTCATCTTTTCATCCACATAAAGGTTGAAGCAGTAAAATGAAAATCACTCTTAAGTATTAAAAACAGGGAATTTAATGCAAGAAATTGATTACAAAGTTGATGGAAGAGATGGGGGGGAAAAGGATAAAAATGTCAACCCACAGATGAACAGCAAGCCATCATCACTCCTAGATTGGAAGACAGTGGGAGGAGAATGGACAGTGTCCTCCCGTGTGGTCTACAGCCTCGGAAACCGCCTGGAGGGTCAGCTACAAGTTGGTTCTCACTCAGTAGCAGTTAAGTGAGAGCTTTTGAAAGGAAGCTGAAATCATAGTCTGCTCCTTAAGATCTCAAGGGTCAAGGCAGACACAGCCAGCGCCAGAGGTATCACCAACACTGAAAGAGAAAGAATTACTCTGGCCTCTCCAGTGACCTCTGGGAGCTGCTGTGGAGTAAGTGATGTTAAGTCTGTGAGACGATTCTTCTAATTTCTCAATCTCCAGTATTTGCCTACCTACTTCCCATTGCATATATGGGAACCAGATAATGTAAGTGCCAGAGAACTACAGGCTTCATGGCTTAGTCCTAGGAACACAGAGCCATGAAGGGAGGAGCAAAGGAGAGTCAGAGAACGCACAGGCTAAGAACGGGCACCTTCATCCGTCTATCCAGCCATCCTCTCTTCAGCATACAGTTCAAGAAACCAGGGATGAAAACGGACAGAAGTTATGTCTGAAGACAAAGTCAACAAGTGCTTCCTTTTGTACAGAGATGGGCTTTGGTGAGAAAGATGCCTGGCAGGCAGGGAATCTGTCTTTCTGAGCTCCAGTGTCCTCTCATCATGTCCAAAAGAGGAAGAGTGAGTGATTAGTCTGGTCTATCACCCATGCTCCTCTGCACTCCTCTAATCCTGTCGGGGGAAATGAAGGCATCTTAGAGGGTAGGGCTGTAGAGGGCTCTCCTGGGGGAAGACACACCAGGACCCCCTCTCATTTTGGGAACTAGGCTTTCAGGTTCATTTGAGGAAGGTTCTGTTCACCTCATGTAGTAGATCCAGGTGAGTCCATAGGTGAGTGCAAAACTCATTCCCATGAACATTCCCTTGAGTGCGAAAAGGACGAGGGGCTGCAGAACATCATTTTCTATAGAACCAACAGTGTCAGCCGAGGTTGACGAGAGAACGGACTTTGTCTCTCAGACTTTGTCCCCACTCACAGCCACACCGGCCGCATCCAGCTGCCCTGGCCCCTCCCTCCTCCCAGGCAACTCACTCTGCACAGCCAGCTTAATGAAGACATGAAGAAGGCCCAAAGGGTGCTGAGCTCGGCAGACTAATGTCCCTCCATCTCCGGCCCCCAGCCGGGGCAGCTCCAGGACCCCAGGCTTGGAGGACAGAGAGGGACTTAGGGCTTTTCCCTCCTGGATCCAGCTCAGCTTCGAAGGAGGGTTGCTGTCAGTCACACAGACCAGACGCAGAGAATGGTCCAGTGGGACTGACAGGGAGGAGCCGTTCTCCAGGGCTGTAGGTGCTGCAAAGAGTAGGAAAGAAGAGAAAAGCAAAGAGAAACAGAAAATCCAGGAGTGGTATCTGAGTGTGCCCTGTGCCTGTGACAATTACTTTTCTCAATCTGACTGTACTATTGTTCCCATGAGTTTTGTCCAACAGCCACCTAGTTGCTACTGGGTAATCTGATGTGATGTAATTACTCTCTGCAATGTGATCCATTATGAGGTGCTCATTCAATCTGTGATGTAATTACTCTCTGCAATGTGATCCATTATGAGGTGCTCATTCAATCTGTTGAAAGAAGAGTTCCTTAGGGTGTGATCTACCTTCAGACTATATAGAGATAAGGGAGAATCATTTATTATCATATTATCTCATTTTTCTCTTAGTCTCTTTCTCATATTCTCTCTCTCCTATCTCTTATTCTCTCTCTCATCTAGAATTCTCTCTTTCTCTCTCCTTCGCCCTACCTCCTTTGCTCTCTCCCTTCTCTTTCACCCTTCCTCTCTCTGCACTATTCCTATTGCTTTGACTTAACAGATCTTGGGATGCAAGCCTGCGGAGATCTCCAGCCTGTAAGAGAGTGAGAGGAGTTTGGAGGGGAGATAGACAATAGGGAGCTTCTAACCTCTGTGCCGTCTCCCTCAGCAATCCTGTCATCCAAGCTCTGAGATGGATCAGAAACACACACACACCCCTCAATCCCACCAGCCTTGTGAAAAGAGATGTTCTCTCCTACCTGTGTTGTTTCCGTGAGAAACATAGATGGTCAGGTTCTGTGGAGCATCTGGGGTTGGACGACAACACACCCTTCTATGAGGCTTAGTATCTTTGTGGCTCCTGCCCAGTTTCCAGTACCCTAAGTCCTGAACTCTGACTCTCATCCCCATCTAACACTTACAGGAGATGTTGAGCTGGACCATTGTCTTTGTGGTCACACCAGATCTCAGAAAGGTCACTTGGCAGGTGATATTGGTGCCGTGGTCCTTGGGCTGTGGGAGGATGGTGACTTCTGAGTCGTGAAGACCAAGGGAGATGAGGGAGCCCCATTTCCAGGAGAAGATGAGGGACTTCCTCCACTGACAGGCGGCTGGCATGGAGCAGGTCAAGCTCCCAGGGTGGCCAGTCTCCAGAGTTGCTGGGACTTGGATGTCGGGTGTCTGGGTGAGAGCTAGGGAACAGTGAAGGGGAGAGAGACACAAGCCCCAGAGAGGAGGGGCACCATGACGTGAACCTACAAGTGGCCTCAGCTCTTCCCCTATCATCCCTGGCAAGGTCCACCGACCAAGACCGAGATGGGAACAGCGTCCTTGACCCACCTTTCACATTAAGAGACAGTGTCTTATACGTGAAACTGAATCTCACAACAGGCCCCCTCTCCAAACGAAAGAAGTATGACATGCCATCCTTCTCCCTGGTGTCTCTGATTCTCAGGGAGCAGTTGTTGGTCAGGGGGTTCCCGAGGAGAAGAAATCGGCCCTCGGTCCTCTCTTGCAGCTTCCGGCCGGGTTGGTTTGTAACCACAGGAGGATCAGAGTGTACATTGGCCCCTTTCAGGAACCAGAAGATATAGAGGGGGTCTGAGTGATTCCATCCATCCGTCGGGTAGGAGAAAGTGCAGGGCACATAGACACACAAGCCTTTCTGAACTGTCACTGACTCTGGTATCTGCAGCACGTAGCCTGGATACTCCTCCGAGAACCCTAGAGTGAGACGGGCATTTAGCTCCGAAGCTCCAATTGCTACCAGCCCTCCTCCTGCTCCCAGGCACTCACCTCCACCCAAAAGGGCCAGCAGCAACTGTGGCACCAGCAGCATCTCTGAAGCCGGAGGGATTCCTTTACGGGTTCTCTAACTGCATCTGACAAGCTCCTCCAAGCAGACATCTGGCACCGAGTTCTGATTTTCTGCCTCTTAACTGGAATGCCCGAACCACCGAAGGGGAAGTGAATCCACCCCACCCCAAAGTTACAGACACCCCAGCACGGAGACTTTCCTTCTCCCCTGACTCAGACCCCACCTCCTGCTTCTGAAGACTACTCTCCGTATCTTATTTCAGGAGAACTTTGGAATTCAATTTAGGCTGTAGTTTATGGATTGCTGACATATGGCCTTTCTGGCCATGTTCTTATATGTGGGAAGCCGAGTATCAAATTTAATATTTATAATAAACCAAATGCTTATCAGGATATAAGGGAGGTGTAACACATGCTAGGATTCACCCTGTGGCATTAAGACATTCCTTAAGAGCCAACATTGTTCTTTTTTCATTGTTTGTATTTACTGAATCCCTCCCTCCTGGGATAAGCATACAGTAAACAATAAAGAAGAATTTGGCCTTATCTGCAAAAGATTTCCTCATGATCCTTTGTTTTTGTTTTCTACTCCCCTATGATTTTCCTTTGTTTACCTTCCTGATGATTCTCAATAAATAAATACACAGAGAGGCAGGGCTTGGGCGCTTCAGTCAAGAACTGCTGGCCCCGTTTTGGGTTTTGTTTATTTTTTTTAATATTCTCTGTTCTATCTCATTCCTGGCTGTCTGTCTCATTATTAATAATTATAAAAAGACCAAGATGGACGACAGATGAGACTCTGAGTATTGCGTTAAGAGCGCCGAGAAGCCAAAGCTAAAGGAAGAAATCAAAGAGCTGAATAGAAAATTTCAAAAGGCATCTCGGGGAGTTGGTGTGGAGTTCATCTCTGCACGTGTGGCTGTGCTGGGATGGATTCCTCTTCGTCTTCTTCCGCAGCGGGTTTGGGCACTGTGGACCCGCAACTGCAACATTTCATCCAGGTGGAGACGCAGAAGCAACGCTTTTAGCAGCTGGTGCATCAAATGACTGAACTTTGTTGGGAGAAGTGCATGGACAAGCCTGGGCCAAAGTTGGACAGTCGGGCTGAGGCGTGTTTTGTGAACTGTGTCAAGCGTTTCATTGATACAAGCCAGTTCATCTTGAATCAACTGGAACAGACCCAGAAATCCAAGACAGTCTTCTCAGAAAGCCTTTCTGACTGATTGCAACATTACCTCTTTGGAGAGGGTAAGGAGTTCAAGAAATAAAGCAGAGCCGTTGGTAGGATGATTGAAGAAAATAAAAATCATTGAAGCATCCATCATTTTTTCCCACTTTGGGAACGTCCTGTCATTTGAGAATGAACAGAGACCAATTTTGTGTGTGTGTCCTTTGAGGGTCATAGGTGTATTTGGTTGTGTTTTTAAAATGCTAATCTTGTAAAACTAATTGAAAAAATTAATGGAAAACTCTTCCGGATGCATATTACTGTATGAAGGACTGTGCTTTTCTCAAAGTCCTAGAAACTGCTTTTCATAATTTAAAAATAGAACTGCTTTCTATAATTTGCTAATGGGACCACATAGATGATAAATCTGTCATTTATGTAAATTAATTTCTAATTTCTGGGGAGATGGAAAGTCATATTTGTGTCACAAAAGACATTTAGGTGGTCATGGGAGAGTTACTTTGGCATTGTAACTGTAGATATTCATATCTAGTGTACATTGCTATGGGAATAGACCCTGGACCACTCAAAAATGATATGCTTCAGCTTTCTATATTATCTTCTTCCTTCAAACTAAGAGTTACTTAAAGACCTGTATAAAATAATGGTCTCTGGAAGCTTACAGGCAACTGAAGGGTCTAGAGACCTTTAGTTATAAAGAAATTCTAGCCAGTGAACATAATTCTCATGACTAGACTGCCTGCCATAAAGAAGACGTTAACTTTCCTCATATAAAGAAGTTGAAAGATGTCCCTAAATGAGTCAAAGATTTAGGCCATTAAAAAACTAACAGCTGTTTCAGGTAGAAATGCATGCCTGATATTAAACATGAATAAATGCCACTATTGCATTCTTTTATCAGTGAAAGAAAAGTTTTGACACGATTGAACTCTGAAAAAAAAAGGCAGCTCGGGACAACAAAGCAAGATCCTATAATGAAAAATGCAGAGAGCTGGAGTCAGAAAATCAAAGGGGCTGAACTCACTCGGCGTTTCTTAAGCTGAAGGAGCTGAAAAACAAATTCAAGCCACGGGTGACAATACTTAAAGATAGTTTGGGTAGCATGCTGAATGATCCAGGAAGTATAAAAAGAAGATGGAAGGAGTACACAGAGTCACTGTATCAGAAGGAATTGGCTGACATAGAAGACTTTAATGAAATAACATATAAGCAAGAACCTATGGTTATAAAGGAGAAAGTTCAAGTTGCTATGAAGGAACTGGCAAAAAACAAGGCTCCAGGAGTTGACTGCATACCAATTGATTTATTTCAACAAACAGACGCTGCCCTGGATGTGCTCACTAAAGCTGTGCCAGGAAATCTGGAGGAGGACAGCCAGCTGGCCAACTGACTGGAAAAGATCGATATTTGTTCCCACTCCAAAGAAAGGTGGTGACCCTACAACAGAGTGCAAAAATTATCAGACAATATCGTTACTATCACATGCAAGCAAAACTCTGCTGAAAATTATCTACAAACGATTGGAGCAATATGTCAACAGAGAACTGCCAGATGTGCAGGCTGGATTTAGAAGAGGTCATGGTACTAGGGATATTACAGCTAATGTTAGATGGATCTTGGCAAAAAGCAGAGAATAC